CGAGACGGAGTCCGAGATGGAGTCCGAGACGAAGTCCAAGGTGGACTGAGACGGAGTCTGAGATGGAGTCCAAGATGGACCGAGATGGAGTCCGAGATGGACCCGAGATGGAATCCGAGATGGAGTCCGAGAAGGACCTGAGATGGAGTCTGAGGTCGAGACCGAGACCGGGACCGAGACCGAGACCGAGACCAAGACCGAGACCGAGACCGAGATCGGGACCGAGACCGAGGCCGAGGCCGAGTCCGAGTCCGAGTCCGAGTCCGAGTCTGAGAGGGTGAAAGCCCAAAACGTTCGTCTCCCAGACCCTGGGGGGTTTGGTGAGCTCCAAAAGTATAGTAAGGGGGAGGATTGCAGTGGAGCCAGTTTGGCCAGGAAAGGCCAATTTGGCCCAGGAAGGCCAGACCCAGTGTTGGGTGATGAATTGACCACTGGGAAGTCCAAAATTAGAGTGAATATAGACCGATAAGCGGGGTAGCTTGGTGAAGTGTTCAAGAGCTGGCTCTAGTTCCCCCGGGAGATCGACTGGCCGATGCTCCCAGTCCAAGTGTGGGTGGCACTACCTACTTGGATACCTAGTGTGGCTTAACAGAACCTCGCTCTAAGCCCATGGCTAGAGCACCTAAAGGCGGAAGGTGGGGAGAGTACCCACAGGGCTCGTGTAGGGCCATGGTGTTCCGAAATGTTGTCCCGAAGTCCCAAATGGGGGAAAGGAGGAGGAGCAGTCCTCTAGTGTAATGACTACGGATACGGTCACATGGTGAGGAAGTCCCAAAGGACAATGGGACTTAGTGGCCGGGCCTGCGGGCCTTGATTTAGTAGCAGTGTTGGTGAACATGGCCATGGACGGGAAAGGGACTTGGTAGGAACTGACAAAGGGATATTGGGAAAGGCTATTCCCCATGTCTGTGGGCATCCTAAGGATGCTCAAGAGTGGATCTGGAATGATCACTCGTGGATGGATGGCCCAGTCTTTGAGAAACGGGACTGTGATGCAGGTGGTGTTAAACCACCAGTGTGACCAAGGTGAATGGGCATGGCTTTAGCATAACGGGCTGATATGTTAGTGGTACCTTGGGGTGTCAGTCATGGGATCGGACACGTGGGGCACTTAGACCAAGTGCAAAGGTTGAGTGGTGGGGATGCCATTCTAGGGGCTAGCAAGCCCAAGTCCGAAATAAAACTTATGGAGGTTGTGAGTGAGACTCCTCCAAGTGGTCGGAGATGTAGTTAAGTGACTAAAGTAAAATGGAAAAATCTTTCACTTACACTTGATTAGACAAGTATCCCCAGTTGAAATGTTGCAATTTTAGCTATAGACGACAGATTAAAGTCAAAGAGATTAGCCTTCTTGAGATTAGCCTATAGATTACTCCTTCTTGAGTCATTCCACAATTGCGACACAGAGATTGTAAAAAGGATTGGAAGAGGGAACAAAGGAACAAAATGGAAACATAAAAAGAAGTAATGGGGAAACAAAAGTGATGGAAATAGAAGTAGAAGCATAAGGACGAAAAAGAACAAAAGTGAGAGGAATAGAAAAAATATAAGGAAGTATGAGACAAGAGGGAGAACTCTCAAAGTCACACTTAGTATGATTGCATAGCAACCAATCTATATTAAGGATGAGGTCAAAAGCTTGACTCGGCACCACTTGCAATAACTGCAGCTCAAACTCGAAACTACCCACACGCATCACTAGGTTTGCTTCATCCTATGCACATATATGTGTATGCCCGTTCCCATACAGAATGAAAATTGGCTCCTCTATACAATGCAACTATAAATGGCAGCATATGGCAATAGGCCAAGCAGAATTCAAGTCTATATCAACTAATACAAAGAGAATAATAAGAGACCTCTTGTTATAAAAATGAGTTTGAAATGTAAATACTAGATGAATTAGTGCTAAGTGAACCTTGATTACCAATATAAACCACCGTGAATTTGTAAATTTCACAATCAGTACTCAGCCAAATGCTAACAATTGAATTGACATTAGTGTTGAGTTCAACAGTGATACTACCAAGCCTGGTTGCAATGACTGTTCATTCCTTTGCTAGGAACCTTGTGAAGGTGATAGCACTCACCAATACTATAAAAGAGGAAATTTTTATTTATTGTCTTCTGTTTCTAGTCTAGTAGTGCTAGACTAAAATGAGTGGGAAAATACTAACCATATAAAATTTTTAGACTAAGAAAAAAGAATCTTATTAAAAAATAAATATAACAATATAGAAAATAACAAACAAGATGATTTTATTAGAGAGAACAAAATTAATTGATGATTTTTTAAAATTGTAATAACTTAAATAAATAGAAGATATAAGGTCCAAATGTATGGTTTTGATGCCATATATTAATATTAGTATAGTGGGATTTTGGTAACCATCGGATTGTTACTTAGATGAATTCACTCATATGAGTGAATATGATTGTTACCAAATTTTAAAAATTTTAAAAATTTTAAAAATTCATCAATTAATTTTGTTTTCTCTAATAAAATCATCTTGTTTGTTATTTTCTATATTGTTATATTTATTTTTTAATAAGATTCTTTTTTCTTAGTCTAAAAATTTTATATGGTTAGTATTTTCCCACTCATTTTAGTCTAGCACTACTAGACTAGAAACAGAAGACAATAAATAAAAATTTCCTCTTTTATAGTATTGGTGAGTGCTATCACCTTCACAGGGTTCCTAGCAAAGGAATGAACAATCATTGCAACCAGGCTTGGTAGTTTCACTGTTGAACTCAACACTAATGTCAATTCAATTGTTAGCATTTGGCTGAGTACTGATTGTGAAACTTACAGATTCAAATTTTAATCATCTGGAAGATTCTACAGTCAACTTCTTTAATCAGGTTCGCTTGTGAAGTTTGACATTCAGTCCATTTTGTGGCATTGGCATGGGATCCATTGTAACCCCTTCGTCAGGATCGGCCAGCTGCCAGTCGAACCTCAGAACCAGATGATGCAGCAGCACCAACATCACCATCTTGGCGTATTCGTTGCCCGGACACATGCGAGGACCTCCTCCGAATGGAACATATGTGTATGGAGTTGGGCCGTCGCCTTCGAAGCGGCTTGGATCGAATTTTTCTGGATCCGGGAAGAACTCAGGCAACCTGTGAGACACCACCGTCCAGCAAGCCTGTAACAGAACAACCGATGAAGCTGAAATAAGATCAAGACGGGATATAGCCCCTACCTTCCAGCCTTTGGGGATCAGATAATCGCCAAACTCGAAGTCTTGGATAACCTCTCTATATCCACTTAGTGCTGGAGGTTGCAACCTCAAAGTCTCTTGCAAGACTCTCCAGCTCACCTTCATTCCTCGAAGATCATCCCATTCCAGGCTGTAGCCGTCCTGACCACTCTTCTCCTGCGAGATTGCCAGATTTTCTGCACAAGTGCAGCATTCAGTATTAAAAGCCATCGCAGGAATATCATTGATCATGAGGATGATCCGCAGCTTCTATAAGATCAAGTTCGGCTGCTTACCTTGAAGAACCTGGTTCCTCCAGTAGGGATTCTCAGCCAGGAACTTCAATGACAGGGTGAGAGTTGAAGAGCTGGTGTCATGTGCAGCGAAGAGGAGCAGCAGCAGATTGTCTTTGATCTCAGCATCGGTGCAAGCGGGCTTTCCATCTTCATTCCGGTAAGACAACATCACCGAGAGCATATCACTGGATTCAGATGCCCTGCCTTGCAGGAACTCCTGCCTCCTCTTAGAAATCAACCGGCCCAGAAGGTCATGGATAACCTCTCGCCTTTTCAGAGCCTTGTGAAACAAAGTCCCTGGAATGTTCACAGGCAGCTGGAGTAGTCCTTTGGTCCAGATCGCAAACGGCTCCTCTAGCTCAAGCTGCTCCTCCTCCGTCTCCAGACTCATGAACGAGCTACAGGCCACAGAGAATATGAAGCTCTTGACAGCAGGATAGATCGCAAATTCTTCACCAGCGTAAGCTTCCCAATGATCTTCCAAGTGCTTCAAGCTCAACTGGCTCACCCTCGGAACATACCTCTGTAGGGCTTCCGGCTTGAGGAACGACATGAACACCTTCTTCATCCGCTTGAAATCCTCACCCGTCAGGCTAGTGAGGGAACCAGGACCCAGAAGGCGTTTGAATCCCACAGGCCAGCTATTGACCATCAGTTTCTCCTCGCTGCCGAACAGTAATTTGTGACCTGCTGGGGCGGGCAGGATGACAACAGGGGAGCCGAGCAGCGACATCTTGAAAACCGGGCCGTACTTGGCCCGCTTCTCGCCGTAAAAGCGCCACGGATCATTGCGCTTGAGCGCTTTCACAAAATTCAGAGAGTCGCCAATCACAGGGACTCCCAGACTCCCAGGAGGGACGCGCCCCTTGCTGCTGCTGCTGCTGTTGCTGCTGCTGTTCCGGAGGAATTGAAGAAGAGATCTGGTGAGGATGAGGAGCGCTGTGGAGACGAGAAAGAACACTACTATCATCATTTGGTCTATTGCTGTTGCCCCCTTCGGATTCTACATTATCAGGATATACCCTTATTTAGTCAACAACTCAGAAGAAGCGGATATGTGGTGCAATTTATCTATCAACTCTCTTAGCGCCAATCCAAAAAATGTAAGTTAGTCACCTTTGCTCATCTAGCCGCTCCATGCCCCACCTTGCACCATGCTCCATGCAAGGTAATCTTTCTCCTACCTCTCAACTCCAAACCAAGCTCTAAAGCTCCACACTCCACTCTCCACGGTCTATTCTCCACTCCTCGCTCTTCCACCCTCCTAGTCAAACCGCAGCTCCTCGCTCCTGTGCTCGCCTACCTATCATTTGACCAACGATCTTTGATTAAAGTCGTTGGTGGTTGATTTGTATTATTGTGATCGTAAAGAGGAGACCATAGATAGCATAGGTTGTTTAAATGCACATACTCAAATCCATTGGGCATGTGAAAGGTTTCTTTAATGTTAAAACCCTAGAACTAAGTAGATTTTAGGTTTTTCGAGATGATCGAGGACGACGAGTGGGACTTGGCAACGATGCTGGAGATCGATCGCCTGGAGGCCTCTGCAGTGAAGGCGAGCCAGCGCCAGCAGCGAGCAGCACCAGCCGCGCATTTGTCAGAACTCGACGAATGGGACGTTGGCGCCTTAGGGATGGAAGTGTCCTGCCCACAGGTAAGTTCTCTGCCTTGACCTTCGTGATCCAAGCTCGCTACTTTCCTACGCAGCTGCAAAATGCGAACCAGAACTTGGATGCTGCTCAGGTGAAGGGACTTGAAATTTTTTCTCAAGAAATTTTTGATGGGCTGCAGCAAGAAATCGAGCGTCTTTCCGCAGAGCTTCGGCTCAAGGTAGTATCTCGCTGAGAAAAGATACTAAGAAACACTGGAGCAATGTAGGATCAAGAGATTTTGGAAGCAAAACGTCAGAGCTTACAGAAGGAGGAGCACTTGCAAGAGGCAATAGAAGTCATGCAACGAGAAATCTGTGCACTCAAGAAACAGTACGCTCTATACTTATTTGCTGAAATGGAAACATTCCTTACTGAAACTTTCAGGTCCGATGCTGCAGTTGGGGAGAAACGAAAGCGAGAAATCCTGGCTTGTCAGGTTGCATCTTTCAAGGCCGTGGATTCATCAAAGCCAGGGGTTACAAACATTGATGACAGTTCTGGTATGGTTTACCATCGGCTTCTTTTCTATACTCTCAACTTCCACTTTCAGCTGGCGATACCGTGAAAAGTGGTGCTGATGCTTCTCAGGTCTGCGAAGATTTTCATTCACCCTCACCTGTGAATCTGATGCAGGCAGGTCGCGAACCGGTTCCGTTTTCTTATGCAGACTCCTCCGATGTCTTGCAAAAACTCCACAGCATATGGCGCATAAAACCCAGAGAAGCTGGAAGCGAACTTCTTACAAGAATATTTACATCGTGTGAGAGGGACTTATATGCCCTTCTCCGGTCTGAAGATACAGAGATGGAACACTCGCTCAGGTCACAGGCAAGCGTTCAAGCGTCAGGAACTTGTGCCGGAAACCTGTGTGAGGCGCTCAAGCAGGTGAGTTGAACATTTCTTCTCGTGATTCATTACATCGCGCTTGGATGCACAGGTCATACAGGGGCTCCGCTCCGCACATACGTTAATTACCCCGCTATCTAGTTATTTAAGCTCACAAAATGTGAGTATTTTGTCCACTATGCTTTGGTTTTATTGTTTGTTTTCTTCTCTTTTGGCAGACGTTGATAGTACGAAGTGCCTTGCGTGTATTTCAATGCCTGGTAGGGAACACATGGAGTATTTTCTATAGGTGCTCTTTCTATTTCCTCTTTGGATCATGTGTATTGAGCTGTTTGTTCAGGCAATCTTATTTAGAAAGCTGTCAAACAGAAGGCAATGGGTGGCATAAAGATGATCTCTGTGGTCACGTTTTCTCCTCTCCGAGAGTTACGAGCAACCTGAAAACTTCGGCGAGCTCAAATGAAGACGTGAGAAGAGGAATTCCGACGGATGAAGGGACAGCGCTTCGATTTTTAAATTCGACGCTGCAACTAGCCCAAAGCCATGCTGATACAGGAGTGAAGCAGGAAGCACTGTCGCTTGTTGTCTCATTTGTCATCCATACAAATCCTACGCATGAAAGATCACGGTACGAAAGCACCTTGATACTGTTTTTTCTTTACTTCTGTATTGTTCGTTCAACAGGGTTGGAACTGTCCTCCTTGAAGCCGGAATAATTTTGTTGCTTAAGAAAAGCGTTGCTGTTTCTTCAGCTGTGCAACTTCAGGCTGTGCGAATTGTACATCTTCTTATCAATTGTAAGGTCTGTCGTTTGCATCGCTAGTCATTGTATCTCAACTTACACTCTGCATTGCAGGTCCTAGGATTTTGGAAATCATTTGTAGTCCTGCAGGGCAACTTGCAAGCATTTTCAAGGACTTGTGTGCATGCCTAACACAAGATGAAGATCCCGTTCAGGTGAGAGCTATCAACGTGCCGCATTTCTCTAAACCTTAGATACTTGCCAGGACTATTGGCTGCGGAAGTCCACCCTGCTCTCGATAGCGTTTCTCATGTCAGCTAAACAAGAACGTGTTCTGGCTCTGGTTCAAGAAGACGGTGCTGTTTCAAACGTGGCGAGAGATCTTATTTCCTTTCTGGACTTGGAGCTTAGATACGAGGAAATGAAGAAAAATGGTTCCAACACCAGCGACAGGTACTCCAATGGTGTTTTTGTTTTAATCAGTCATTCACAACCATTCCATGGAACCATACTGCGCAGGTCACCTTTGCTGCCGGAAGCAGTGGCTCTGCTTTTTCAGCTCGGCTCTCATGCAGCAACAGCGACTTCGCTTTTAACAAAAACTCCCGAAGCGGCAACCCGAAGCTTGAGTGTGACCAACAGGCTAGTCGCCCTCGGCTCACAATGCTGCGTTTCAAAGTCTGGTAGAAAACCATTCGCGTCAACGTCCTCCATGAGCGTGGTGGAAATGGCAAAGATCCTGAGAAGCAAGATTCTCGCGAGCTTTAGAGATGCTTCGGTTGTATCATGACATACACTTTTATTCACACTCACAGGTGCGTGTATGTATCATATTTAATCACAGGCGCTTGCACAGTTTTGAGCTTAACACGAGTGGAAACATCGAGAGGGAGTTTAGAGTGCGACAGTGGATGATTTTTACTTGTGCAACCTTGGCTCTTCTTCAGGTACTTCTCGTATTCGATTGATGGTGATTGACCACCTTCTATCTAGAACTCGCCGGGTACAGGAACAGACTATTCGGGCCTGAATATACAAGGTACTTTTCACTCGTTGATCGAACCATCACCATCTCTCTCATCTCGCCTTGACTTGTGGATGGATTTTTTCAGTTCCTGTGTGCATCATTCATCTCCTTGGCGAGTAAAGAACGGTGGTTGTCTCCGGTCTAAGCACAAGTTGTGAGCACGGGTCTCTCACATAAGCAGGAGGTATTGGTGAATATGATTGATTATCTTTGCGATTTGATCCTTGGAAAACGTGGGAGTTTACAGATGATGCGGTGATGATCAGCTGTGACACAAGATAATCTCCAGCACAGACAAACGACAAAGTTCGGTGGGCACTTCATTTTACAAGGGGAGCTGTTCCGTAACGTCTTAGTCTTAAGCGCCTGCGGGAGGATGACTGGTATTATTTTAATCCGTAAGAGAAGGTGCTTCGCTGCACATAGACAATGGCGAGGGAACACTACTTGCAGGTTTGAAACTTCAACACTCCGTGATGAGCTAACTAAAGCGCCTCCTTTCCCTTTTTATATTGCAGTTTTGATTCAGACGGGTACATGATATCCGGAGAAACAAGAACATGTTCTTGAGAGCCATACGTAGCTAGCCAGCTGGTAGAGACTTTTGCTGGCTTTTGCTGGATTGGAGAAGCGAGCTTTCAATCTGGGGAGCGTCAAGCGCCGCAGAGCTTGCAAGTTTCGCGAATGCACGGAAGAGGAGGAACCGAAAGGAACCAAAACTTCCAAGTTCCAGCCCGAATGTGAGGTGGCTCTTGGTACGGAAGTGACAACCAAACGTTGTCCTCTCTATACACGCTGCTTCATATTTACAACGAGCGGAGACGAGATGAGACTCTCTTCACCAGCATATACACAAGGTTCATATCAGATCAGACACTACATTACTTGCTAGAAACGAACAGTATTTACTTTCGAATGGTGTACCACTTCTTTGCAGGAAGAAAGCGACGAAACCAAGATCAATACGTCCAGAGCGACTCGAGATCGACTGCCGAGGAGCCAGCGGCGGCGGCGGCGGCAGCGGCCGCAGCACGGTAGAGTGATGCGTTGGGAGTGGCAACGGTGGAGTGATCGAAGCTGTAAGGAGCGGTGGCATCGTTCATCCAAGAGTTTTCCCGTCGTAGAGTCGACGAGGGGTTGGAGGAAGAGGTATGCTCGTCGTGAAGGTTGAAGCTAGCAATGCTGTTGTAGTGATGGCGATGATTTTGCTGTTCTAACTGTTGGTGTTGGTGGTGGTTTTGTTGTTCCAGGCCGAGAAGCGAGCAAGTGAGAGGCTCCATCTTGGCCTGCTTCATCACTCCCTCGTCGAAGAAGCCAAAGCCGGTGTGGTGGTCGAAAGAGGAAGGCAACGGGAACCTCGCGAAGTCGACCATGCTCTTGCCGAGAACTTGGAAGGCTTGGGTGGAAGAGTCGGCGGCGTCGAGCGCGGGCATGCACGAGGAGTCGAGATGTGGGGACTCGAGCAGGGGCGGGAGTGACGAGTGCTCGTCCGAGTGCTCGCACAGTCCGAGGTTGGATTTGCTGGTGGTGGAGGTGGTGGCGGTGGTGGCGGTGGTGGGGGCGATGCGAGACTCCTTGTACGAGATCAAGCCTTTCTTTCCCCCGGGGCTCTTCTGGAAGATCCGGCACACGACCCACTCCGAGTCCTGCAAGGAAAAAAATTTAACTTCGGACTGTCAGTCTCCCGGTCGATCGAATGGAAAGAATGCTTCTTGGAAATCATGCCATAAATCAGACAAGCAATCAAATCGAGAGCACGAATTGGATCCACGATTGAGTGTGGAGGGAGAGAGAGAGAATTAATTATCCCCTCTCTCTCCTCCTGGAGTGATGTTCTTAGTTTTTTCCCTTTAAAGGCCTTGTTTTGTCGCCCCGTGTGCTGTCTCTATGTGTGTCTGTCCATGACTCCCATCATCAGGGCCTACAAAAAGAGAGAGTCGAGTGCTACGCTACTGGATGGAGCAACAACAAGAAAGAGAGCGGCCAAAAAAACAAAAAGACGATCCCACACAAAAAGTAAAACATTCCTCCTCTCGCTGCAGTAGGAAAAGGGAGAAGAAAATCCAGGAGATGGAAATCTATGCCCTGAGCACAAGAAATCTAGCCACCGCAAGCACTGCAATCTATGGAAGAGAAAATGAAGGATTTGAGTGAGCAAAGTGATCACCTTGGATGTTCTTGAGTTGTGGAGGAAGGCCGCCTCGCCCTCGAGCCTGTACTCGTGCATGATCCAGTTGGTCTTGACGCCCTTGGGAGCTCTCCCTCGGTAGAAGACGAGCGTTTTCTTGGCGCCAACGAGTGTGTTTGAGGAGGAATTGGTGGTGGAATTGGCGGAAGTTCGTGTGATATCGCGGTCTTTGCCAGTGGCTTTCCAGTATCCGGCCTCGGTGGCTCGGTTTGTGCGCATTCCCGTAGGATACTTTCGGTCCCGCAGCGTGAAGAAGTACCATTCCTTCTCACCCATCTTGGCCTTGTCTGTGTGGAGCAAGAGCCAAAAACGAAAGTGTTAGTAGTGCTCACGGACTCCAAGAAATAGATAGCATCTAGCCAAGATTATGAGAAACGATGCATAGAATCGCAAGAACAGGAGAAATTCCAAGACCCTCTATCACGAGAAGCGCGTCGCTCCAATTTTTCAACACGGCACGAAAACTCGAGAAAGAAGCATGAAAAGAGGAACGAACTCCCACTTCTTCCCAAGAAGAATGAATCAAATGCGAATGAATGGAGAGCTTGGAAGTGTTCTTACCTGGCAGCTCCCATGGTTCGTTCTTGTTTAGATCCACGTCTTGGATGGCACGAACGCTAAACTTGTTATTCTCCACCTTCTTGATCAAGTAGCAGTCGATGAGCTCCTCGTCCGTGGGGTGGAATCGAAAGCCTGGAGGAAGCAAAGGCTCGTTCCTCCGGGAGGAGCTACTGGAATTAACACCGCCTCCCTCCATAGCTTAGCTTGATCCACAAGAAAACGAAAATCTTCCAAGCGAGAGAGAGAGAGAGTGTGTGTAGAGTTGAAGAGGGGTGAGAGGAGAGATCTATCAATTCTATAGAGAGTCTCTACAAACTACACAGTATATGGAGGCTCTCACACCAATTTGATGCGCCTAAGATGATACCAAGCTCACACCTATGAATGAAGAAGCCATGATCACAGCTATGAAATTTGCAACCGGAAATTTCCAAGGAAAATCTCTCGCCTTTTCCTTTCTTTCTGCCTTGAAATATGGATTGGAATCAAAGATCGAGTGCCTCTCTCCGCTCACTCCCACCTCTCTATGACGAGTGAAGGAATGAATGCACGACCAAAGCTCAAATGGATGGAGAAGTGTTAAATATAAGAAAGTGAGAGGAACGAGAAGCATGTCAAGGCACGCGCAAGCCCATTCCGCCCGCCGCAGGATGGAAACACGTGTCCGCATCGTCGTCAACAGGCCTTACGGCGCGGAATTGGGGCCTCGTTCACACTTTCGTACGCACACTTCACCCCCTGCCGTACGTTGCTCAAAAAATTCCAGTTATTTTACTATCTGCTTGTCAATAATTTTAATTCTGTGTTAATGGTATTAGTTAGAACTAGAAAGAAATTGGGAGCAGTGCTTGGTGATTGTTCATTCCAATTGTCTGGGAAAGAGTAATTCATTGTTGCCACTCCAAATGGATGCGTAAAAAGATGATGATGGTCATGATGATGATGGTGTGATGACCGGATACATGCATGGGACCATTGCCCGGCGGCGATGCTCATGCATGGGGCCATGGCATGGGATGGCCCACATTCAAAGCGTTCTTCCCAGGAGTTTTAGAGTGTCTGGTCGCGGTTGGGCTCGTGTCCCTCGTTTGATCCAACAAGACCTACTGCTACATCTCCGCTTTTGTGCTCCAAAACTCCAGTGTTTGCATTGCCACAAGTCAATACACTACTCGCCTATTTCTTCTTCGCACCCTGGCCAACCAGCACCATTTGCTTTTGTAGATTAAAAGCTTGGGAAAAACAAAGATAAAGAAGGATTTGTCTGGCCAATTCCAATTCAAGCTCTTTCAGGCTTCTCTTTCAGGCTTGTCATTCTATAAACAAGGCGATTGGGGCGTTTTGTTATCCGACTGTTGCTCCAGCTCCTAAAAACCAGAGACAAACAACATGCATGGGAGCTTGGAATTTCTTAACGTTCTTTTCCACGCATACCCCCCGTCACCTTTTCATTCTTTTCTTTCGTTGTTTCTTCCGATATCGATATATCCACACACTCACCGCCTTTGTTTATTCTTCCGGGCCGCGGCAAGGAACAAGGAACAAGTTGTCACAAAACGAAAACGAACGATGCCCTGCTTCTCGGCCAGGAATGTAGGGGGAGTTTGAAGAGGACAACGTCCCGGCCCCTCATCCGGACCCGCCTCTCATCTCGGAGCCCTGTGTTGTGTGAGAAGCAAGCAACAGCTCCACCTTTTTAAATACAAAAAAGCCACGAAAAAACTTACGGTTTTCGCGTTTTGTTTATGGGATCGCCGTCACAAAGAATGGTATCCGCTACTCCAACTTCCATCCCACAATCGAATCGGATCGCACCCCTCGCGCACACTGCTGTCTGCGAGAAAAAAGATGGATAGATAAATCAGTGCAACTCCAAAGCTCGTGGAAGGAAAGGAGGGGACAAAGATCGGGTGCATTCATTGCTCGGGAGTGCTCTACCTCGTGCAGATTAAAATACATTACAGGTACCGCGGTTTTATCCACTCTACCTCCTTTGCATTCTCTCTCCCTGCCAAGAAAACAAAAAAAATAATGGAGTTGCTTCATGGAGAACATTACCTCTAGTTTTTCCATGGGGTTGATATTAATCATTGGCTCTCTGGAATTTTGGCAGAAGAATGGCCACTCGTTTGCTAGCTGTGCGAGTTGTTTGTCAACTCTGCCGCTCATCGGCTGCTGTCTCGCCTTGGTTTTTCTATAGCTCTAAGAAAAAAAGCCACGAGAAGTTACTGACACAAGGGAAGATTAAAAGAGATACGTACCGAGGAAGTCTACCACCCGGCGAGGGTCCCCTCTGAATCATGTAGGGAACTCGTCCTCGCATATGTCGACTGGTTCGCATCAGCATGAGCTACAACATAACACAAGTGAGATTTCGTCTCTATGAGTAAAGATCATTGCTTGGCGAGCACAACATGAACGTAGCAAAGATCTTCAAAGACGGACACCTTTCATGTGGGGCGATGGAAATGTGACTTCGAAGTCTCGCAAACCCGCATACAAACAAGGTTTCTGTATAGGACAGCGAAGCTTAGAGCATCTAGATCCTGGATATCTAAATGCTTACAGACATGCATGCAAAGGGAAAGCTTGCAAAAAAAGCCTCTACTGGCACGTATGATTGGATTGGAGTTCGATGAACTTCCAGCAGCCTGTAGAATGAGCCAGATGCAATACTCTAATGCTGGAAGCAAAGCGTTGAAAGTGAGGTGTAGAGAAAAGCTGTCCACAAAAGCTTTGGGATAACGGCATCTCTGTGAGCTCGATACCGTATGCCATGAACATGGCATGAAAGTTGAAAAAGAAAAAACATGGACAATTAAAAAACTCTCGCGTAAAAACGGAAAGAAATACCTGAGTTCGCAGTTTTCCACTGAAACACATCCCACGTCCAAACGGCACAGGTGTCTAATCCGAACGGAAACAAAGGGGTCAGCAAAATCGACCTGTACGGGACTCGCTCGGCCCCGAGAGCAAAGGAAGACAGTAACAAACTTTGATACCCCGCAGTGGTCCAGGTAGAGCGAAAGCAACAACGCACCGCTCGACATCTTAAATGAAGTCGACAGCCGCCTGCGCCCGATGGATGCTTACAGTCCAGCCGGTGGAATTATTACGCAACACATATCGCAGTCAGGGATCGAGATCAAGTAACCAAAAATGTTTCTTTCACTACACGTCTCTAGAAACTCTGCAAAAACAAACAAAATAGAAGAAAAAAGGAATGAGAAAAGCATCAACGAATAGGGAAAAATCTTCTTAAAAAAACAAAAAGAAGATAAGGAATGAGAAATGAGAAAAGAAGGGAATAAACTCTAGAAACTCTTCTAAGAAAGAACAAAAAGAAGATAAGGAATGATGAATGAAACAAAAAAACAAAGAAGCAAAAAGAAAGGAAAATTTATGAAAGCCATGCAATGCAGTCACTGCCTACGTTGCCGAAAGAGATAGAACACCGAAAGAGAGAGAGAGAGCGAGCGAGGGAGAGCGCGTACCCGAAGGGGAGAGAAGCTGTGTACGGAGAATCAACGGCGTTTGTGGGGCCCACGTGGCCGCCAATCATTTGACGGGGGCCGGCACGCACAATTCCATGGGACACGTGGTGCCGACACGTGTCCCTCATATCCTCCTTTGTCAAAGTTTCTACGCTGGTTGATGCACCACACTGCGTGCATGGCCGCTGGAAAGAAGCTTCCAATCTTCTCTCGTTGGCAGGCAAGAGTTTCGTTCGTTCTCTGCGAAGTGGAAAAGAAGAAGAAGAACGAAGACACGCTGGATTAGTTCTATCCTGTCATGGCACAAAAGCGTGAAGTACCTGAGAGAGCCGAGCGTGGAATTTTCTTCGTCTCTTCACCTGTTCAAAGGCCACGGCGAGAAGCAGCGCGCAAAACTAAGTACCTGGAGACTGGCTGGATCAGCAACACCAGCAAACGAATGGTGCAAAGCATTTGGTCCTCTGGAAGCCAGTCGCCCTCACGCACTTTAACCGATCTAGCTCCGAAATAGCTCTGCGTCAGTGTTGTATGAAACAGCTCTTTGTCCACTTAGACGGCGTGCTGGTGCTGCACAAGATAGCAGTCGAGGAGATAAGGGCAGCAGAAACAAAAAAAGAAGAGTGAAACAAAAAAGGACGTTTCTCACATTACCTGGCTTGACTGACGGAAGAAAGTCGACCAGTCTTCCGTGAACTTCAGACGCACGAAGTTTCTACTGGATTAGTGAGAAGCAACTTCTTCTCAAGTTCCCATCGTGATTCCGAGGGAGGTGATTAACATGATCGCAAAGCGTAGCTCCTGCATTAACCTTTCAAACACGACCTTGACCAGCAAGAAACACCCAGCCGCACAGAATCGCATTTCTACTCAGGTCATCACATGCAGAGCCCTCTGAAAAAGCCAGGATTTGACAACAAAAGGCTGAGACACACCACGCCCCAATCATGCAACGCAGAAATGCTTGACCGAGTCAGTTTCCAAAAAAATACATTTCGAGTATCCTCCCTGGAGACAACTTGCAATATACATACCACTCTTTTTGACACGCAAATCGAAGTCTCAGGCCACGTCCACAAAACTGCGACCGTGATATTGATGGTGTCCGGAGCTGCAATGAAAGCGAATGATTCAATGGTGATGTTTAAGGTATATCACGCTGGAGATACCCACCATTTGTCGAGTATCTAGGCAGGATCATTCGCGCTGGTCTCTTCTTTTGATTGATCCGAGGAGGCATCTTCCCCTTCCGTTTCTCCAGGTCCCCCGCTATTCGCTAAAACTGCCGCGATTGGATTTGTAGCTTCTTCCAAAAGAGCATACAAAAGCCTCAGAGCCTCTTTGCGATTGTCTTCGCGTTTCTCAAACCTGCATCGCGAAAACAGGTTTCAGGAAAACAGAAAACCGAGAACTCATAGATCAGAAACATACCTGTCACAAGTGATGGTGAGCTCGTCAAATGCTGGCTCGTATCGGCGATCGACCAAGTCAAGTAGGCGCCTCCGTTGCATTGGCTTGAGACGAAAGTCGCTGACACGAACTTTCAACTTCACCTTGCGATTGAGAGGATGCCATGAAGTGCCATCGTATGGAAAAACTATGCAAGTCTCCCACGTTAGAACAGGGCCTTTGCCTATTGGAGTCGATCGTGGTTTTTCCTTCTTTTCGTCCGGCCTCAGTGAAACATCATCCTCTGCAAGAGAATTTAGAATCAGAAACTCGAGCGAAAACATAAAGATCGAAGAATGTAGCTTACTCGCTATCATATTGAAGAACGTTGGATGCTCGAGCCACTTATCAATCTCTCTGCGTGCACTATGGACGCGTTGCAATTCTCCCGCGTTGGATTCATCCAGGCCAAACTTCAGCAGCTTCTTCGGCTTCTTCCGTTTGAGCTTGGCAGACGCTGGATCCATTCTTTCAATCAATATTCCAGAATTCCCGGCGCAACATGCATAGAAACGCTCACCTTTCTCGACCGCAGCTAGATCGCTCGCCCCCGGCGCCTCATCGAGCAGGATCGATCGCGTGGAAATCGCCCGCGCCCCCTGCAATCGCTTCCACAGCGCTAGTCCTCGCATTTTCTCATCAAGCCCTAAACCCTAGCGAAGCCCTAAACTAGTTTCTATATTGGGTGGTTACAAAGAAAGGAAAAATGGCATTGCTTGTTAAGTCCTGGCTATGGCGCTCTCCCGCCGCTGACGAGGATTCCATCCCCAGAAGAAGATTTCGATCTCCTAGAGCAGCCGCTGCCGCCGGCGCCCCATCGCCACAGGTATGCGCGCTGGAATTTCTCTTGCTTTCTCGCCCGAAATTTCCAGAATCAGGTCTTCCCAGAGGTGAATCTTCCTTGCGATGCTTGCGACGGCCGCGGCTGGACGATCTGTAGCTTCTGCAATGGCCAGAAGACGAACGTCCAAGTGAGGAAGAGCCGATTCTACCGCCGCTGCCCTTCCTGCAAAGCTGTGAGTGCGAGAATAGAATTTTGCCCTCTTTTGCTGAGCGATGAATCGACGCACAGGTTGGAGCTACGCTTTGCTCTTACTGCCGAGTCTTTCGATGCATTACATTTCCAAATGAAAGCGATGGAACCTTAGGCCTACAGTGATCGTTTAAGTTTAATTTGAGGACACACGTTGAGCTTGGAAGCTGCCACAGTTCACTCCGCGTGGCAAAAGGATCTCGTGGTAAGGCCAGAGCAGCAACGCATATCTAAACTTCCCGGGAGCAATAAGTGGTCAATTCCTTGCAAAGTTTTCTAAAGCCTTATATGTTCTTCGCTCTGTTTCTAGGTCTCACAACTTTTGGAGGGCGAAGGAGAGGGCTTGTTTGGATCGACCAAGCTACAGCAATGGCGTCTCTCAAGGCAGTGTCAGTGACCCATGTCAGGTACGAGGTTGGCGACGATATTGGGCATATAATGGCGTGGGCCTCGCTACTGCCCATTCTCATCTCAGCGGGATTCATCTCCCACTTCATCTTCCGGAGAGAGCTCCTGGCGATGTTCTTCGCCGCTGGGCTCATCATGTCCGAGTTTTGCAACGAGAAGATCAAGGAGGAGGTGAAGCAGGCCAGGCCACTGACTTGCGAGCTGCTCGAGATGTGCGACTCCCACGGTTGGCCTTCCAGTCACTCGCAGTACATGTCCTTCTTCTCCACATTCATCAGCTTGTCGGCGCTGTTCAGGTGGTCCTTCCACGGCTCGCTGAGAAGGGCGATGGTGGTGCTACTCCCGTGGCCTTTCGCGGTGCTCACAATGTACTCGAGGATCTACCTCGGCTACCACACAGTGTCACAGGTTTTCGCCGGGGCCGGAGCTGGCCTGGTGATGGGCAGCTTGTGGTACTTCGTGGTTTACAGATTGATGGTGCCGCTCTTCCCAGTGATTGAGGAGACGAGGATCGCTCGCGCCTTCTACATCAAGGACAGCGGCCACATTCAAAACGTTCTCAAGTTTGAGTATGAGAACTCGCGGAGAGCTCGCAGGGGCGGGGCCACCGCCGATGGATCCAGCAAGCTCGTTGCTCCTCCGAGGAGCAAAGTCTCCATTGACTAACTTTTAGTGTTAATGGGCCCTAGAAATTTCTAGGGTTCAGCTGAAATGAATAACTTAACTGGAAACCTATGGAAATATTCTCTGACCTAAACTTGGGAGTGTTAAGTGTGTGCTCTCTTTCTTGTACGGCATGCCAAATGCTGTGACGAATCGATCAAACCTTCTGGGCCACAAGGACAAGAAGCCCACCTCCGTACGCCACCCCGGCCCTCATTACGTGACGGCTATGATACATCTATCAAAAACCATACGATCCATCCATCATCCATGGAATATATTCCATGGGCAAGAAGGCTCAAAAAAAAAAAAAAAAACAGAAAAAAAAGAAGAAGATTCTTTTCCAAAGTGATGGTGTGATTTGTCGCGATACAAAAGAAGCTGTCGATTCATAGCACTCTTTTGTATGTTTGTGTGTTGTGTTGTTGAGAAAATGGGGCCATGGAAGGGGATTTGAAACTAGGCACGCGGACGCCTGGAAGTGGGATATGCGGTGGAATCTACGTACGCAGTGTGGGCTTTTTTGCGTGACTTGTTTGGGTAAGTTTGAGGACACTTTGTCTGTCTCTTCAGCAGGGTGTACCTCCTGATCGGGCATGGCGAAACTTCTAGCGCGTAGTACTGGCCTTGGATTTTAGTGCGTGGATTTCCTCAAATTCAACGCAATGGAGCTGGATCAGCACTGCAGCACTGGAGAGCAAAACCAGCAGCATCTAAGCTCCGATCAAGCTTCCGGCTCCTCCGATCAGCTGCAATTGCCGCCGGGATTTCGATTCCACCCCACGGACGAGGAGCTCGTCGTCCACTACCTCTCCAGGAAGCTCGCGTCGCACAGCTTCAAGCCGCTTCCCATCGTCACCGAGGTGGACTTGTACAAGTTTGATCCGTGGGAGCTTCCCCAGCAGGCAAGCTTTGGAGAAAAGGAGTGGTATTTCTTCAGCCCCAGGGACCGAAAGTACCCCAATGGAGTTCGTCCCAACAGGGCGGCCGCGTCCGGCTACTGGAAAGCCACTGGCACGGACAAGATGATCCACAGCTCCGCCGACGGCAGGAAGATTGGAGTGAAGAAGGCGCTCGTCTTTTACAAAGGACGAGCTCCAAAGGGCGCCAAGTCCAACTGGATAATGCACGAGTACCGTCTCGTGGATCCAAACAACAAGGCTCTCTTCGCCAGGAAGCGAGGATCACTGCGGGTTTGAAAGCCGCTGACTAGATATTGACTGTTTTTGACTATGTTTGACTTCCATGTTTTTTCAGCTGGACGACTGGGTGCTGTGCCGAATTTACAAAAAGAAGGCGAAAGCGTACAGCAGGGCGAGCGTGATTAAGAGTGAGTCGAGAAGGACGGGCAATGGGAGCACGGTGGAGGAGGATATGCTGGCGTCTCTCCCGGAGATTGGGATGGATGAGCAGCACGACAATTCGAGTGTGAGGAGGCTCGCAGCGAGCACCAGCAGTGACCCTTTTGTCCAGGCGCTGCTCTCCGGCGGTCAGGAGAGCTCGGCATCGCAAATCTTGAGCCTTTCCTTGGAGATGATGCGGAACAAGCAGCAGCAAAGCGTGATGTTCCCTGGGAATCGATCGACTAGCGGAGGAGGATCATGGCAATTTGGAAGCATGCTGCTCGATCCGAGCTCGCAGCCTGATATGTCAGCAGTGGGTTCCAGCACTGGAGTGGCGCTGCCGTCGAGCGCTTTGGAGGAGAGGCCAATCCATAGTACTTTGGAGCAAGATTTCCAGCATCAACACGAGGCTCTGGCATTTCCTCAAAACCAAGTCGTCCAGGATTTCATCTCGAGAACTCCAACTCCAACTCCACCCCTGTTGTTTCCCGGCTCAGGCAACAACGCCTTCCATCACCAAGTCAACGTAGTCAACTATACTCAACTTTAGCCATCCAGATTATTCCACGCCACAAGGCCATGTTATGATGAATCGGCTACTAGAAGCACCAAAGTCAATAACTTGAATGCGATGGCCGACGCTCCAGATCTCTCCACGTGTGATGTAAGCTCACGCTCCAGATTGGTCCCACTTCTAGCTTAGTTGTACGGTGGGACCGCGAGCGAAATTTTTTATTACGTACACGAAGAGAACGTTGGTCTCCCGCTCTTTCGGGAAGGGAAGAACCCAAATCCTCGCATCTCCCAGGCGGCGGCTCAAGGGCGTTTCCCTCACGAATCTTGCGTGAGCGCGAGGCGCTGCGTTACGGCGCCGGATCTTGCCGCGGCGCATCGAATTTTTGCGCGCTCAACGCCTCCATTTCCGGGTGAGTTCTTGCGCCAATCGCTCGAAATCTATCAAAATGCGGGTAATCCAGTGCTCTAGAGCTCCGTTCTTGTGCCTGGAGCGCGTTCTCTAGCTGCGTCGATCGGATTGCCCTGGCGGGGTATAGGGTTTGTTCGCAGCTGATAATCTCTTCTTTCTTTCTCGTGTAGGAACGATGCCAGATCCATGGAAAAGGTCTTGCGAAGGCGCGGTGGCGATTTTATTATTTCTTGAGTGCTTGGCCATCACCTCAATGGCCCAGTCGTGCTCCAGGTCTCTCACTTTCAGCAACAGGACCTCCATGACCTTTACGACGTGCGTCAATCTTCCGTCACAGCAGGCCTCTCTCGCGTGGTCGTACAACGCTTCTGGAAACACGCTAGCCGTGGTTTTCTCCGGAGTGGCGCCCTCTTCCTCCGGATGGGTCGGCTGGGGCATAAACTTTGGAGCCAGGCCAGTGATGATCGGGACCAACGCTTTAGTCGCCTTCCAAGCTGGAAACGGGAGTAACTTGCTCGACTACAAGTTGACGGAAGAGACCCAGGCGCTGAGGCCACTTACGTGCAGCCCGATCGATCTCGTCGTCCTGGATCGGGCAGTGGTGATTCAAGAGCGAAACATGAGGCTCTACGCCTTGATCCAGCTCAGGCCAAATCAGACGAGGCTCAACCACGTTTGGAACCGGGGATCCAGTGTCATCAACTTTAGTCCCCAGCAACACGCCCTCGGCACGAATGACTTGAACGGTAGAGGTGTTTTTGATATCACCTCCGGAGCACTTTTATCGTCACGTCCTCTGCATCAGAAGCTTAAGGAGGTATGTATTCTCTTCTCTTTTTGTTCCATGCTCGACTAAAGTTTTTTATTTGCAGGCTCATGGACTTATCAATGCTATTGGCTGGGGAATTTTACTCCCGCTCGGTGCCATGTTTGCTAGATACTTGCGACCTTTCCATGACAGCGCATGGTTTTGTCTCCACGTTCCGTTTCAGGTTAATGGCTACATTCTTGGTGTTATTGGCTGGGCTATCGGGCTTAGGCTCGGAAGCTACTCCGTCGGTGTAGTTTATCACAAGCATAGGAACATCGGGATAACTTTATTTGTTTTCGGGACGCTCCAGGTAGTTCACATTGCTTTCCACAGTTTGAAGATGTAGAGCATTACTTTTCTATGGTCACTCAGGTTTTGTCGCTGATATTGAGGCCAGGGCTCGATCACAAAGCACGTCCATACTGGAAAGTCTATCATCGCACTATTGGCTACCTGACGTTGCTCCTCGCGATCGTGAACATCTATAAAGGCCTCGATATTCTGGAACCGCACAACAAGTGGCGTCGTGCATACACCGGTATACTTGTGGTCCTCGCGGTCATCTCTTTGCTTTTGGAGGTCGCTACTTGGATGGTACACTTGAAGAGGAGGAAAGCCGAGAAAGCTGCCAAGCCTATTGCTACGAATGGAAGACACGACGGTATTGAAATCTGATGTTTCATCAGGCTAATGTTTGGAATTTTCGTTTGTATATGGATTTGTTTTCTCTTTGAAAGCGCTCTCTTTAGTTTACAGTGTTCAAGTTTCCTTGGACTTTAATACTTTGATCAAGCCTCTGGCAATCTTCTCAAACCAGTACAGGTTCATCACAGCAAATACAGACGTCGAGAAAAACATGAAATAGTATCCGATGGTATCTATTTCAATCACCTGCAAAGAAGTTCGAGCTTTCAATGCAGGAGTTTCGAAGCAACACGAAATACCTCGTCATAGTGCCAGTACATGTGAGCAAAGAGGTAAACAAAGAGGACAATTCGAGCGATCTGTCTTCCAGAATTAATAAGTTAAAACTTTTTTTTCTTGTTTGTAGCAGGAGGAAGACAAACTTACCAGCCAACTCACGAAGAGTGCAATGCCATTGATTGTATAAGCACGAGTTTTCTTCATGTCCGCCGCTGCCAGGTACCTGTTGCATCCACGTTTGTCTTTTTTTTGTTAACTTATCTCTTTGGTCGTGCTTGCATGAATTCGATTTCTTGTGTACCATCGAATGTTTATAAAAGGCGTCGTGCTCTCGGACAGGAGAACCGTGTATAGATATATGTGTGCATATCCGCTATGCACTGCCAGGAAGAGCGAGATAATGGAGACAGCGTGATGAACAACCTGTTACGTATGACCGGTGAGTTTTTTTCATTGTTTTTTTTCAGTTTTGTGTACACTCACAAACTCAATCTCTCCCAGGTTCGGATAATATTTCAGCAACATCGCCATGTCCGTGATAAAGTATCCATTTGAGACCTGGAAGAACAGTATGATCGATGGAAGATTTTTCCAGCATAAAGTACCGAACCCCGAGGAAAAACTGGGTGAAGATGGTGCTCCGGAACACAACAGGCCCATACGCCACCTCTTCTCTAAACAGGTCCGAGACGAAGAAAAGATATCCGGCCACCAATGTCGCGACGACGGCGTGCGTGAAAGAGATTGCCCTGCATTATGGTCAAACCGCGATTTCTCCATCTTCTTCACAGGTGAACTGATTCACATCCATAGCTTTTTTTCTTTTCTATGCGTTCTCTGACCACGTTTTTGACATGTAGTGACGCGACTCACATAAACCCGCCTACAAAACTTTAAATACGACGAGCAGACCGAATTGACTTGGAATACCTGTTGTTCCACTCGACCCTGTCCTTGTCCGAGAGCTTGGTGTACGCATTTGGGAAGAGAACCGGGCCGTAAGCCTTCATCGACTCGAATGCCTGCTCGACAAGTCGATCGATCCATGGTAAATTCCTTCGTTTTTTTAATGGTTTTTTCGTTTGACTTACTAGCGTGGACATGAGAATTCCAGTGAGAATCGACGTGGCCCAGAGCAATGGCTTCTTGTAGCCAAAATCTCCCATCACATCCTCCAGTTGGGTCTGGAAAAGCACTGCCTTCTCCATCGCCGACGTCACGAAAGAGAACCCACAGAGGAAGGAGAAGATAAAAATCCAACGTTGTGAGAATCGTGGGGACGGTGCCTCCTGATCGCGGGAAGGGATCGACGGCCGCCCGTGGCCAACGGAGGTCGCGAGTTCGAAACAGTAGAACGCCTCTCTGGAGTCACTGGTCAACATGTACGCGAGCGCGTAAAATAAAACGTACGGAATGGGCGTCTCTTTTTATATAGGGCTTTTCTCTGGTCTCTTGGCGCCCGTTAGGGATTTGGGGGCTTCGATGCGGCAGAGGGATTCTCTTCTTCTTCCGTGTAGATTCGTGTAGATTCTGGGGCTGGAATTCGACATTTCGTGGCGCTGTCTCCAATCCGCGACAGTAACGGGGGAGACTAGCCTCGGATCTTTTCTTTTCTTCCAAGAAACGGCGATCGATCGATCAGGCTGGCTCCCAGGGCGGATATTTCGAGCGCCAAGCTCTATCATCCGCCTCATCCGATGATGAGAGAGCACCTGGGGTCGTTCACGGTAACAGGTGCGTTTGCTTTGGTTTTGCAAATCCACAGGAACCAAGAGCAAGTGCAGCAGCATCAAAGTCAAAGTTTCCACCAAAATTCCCAGCAGAGCCGAGAGATCCTGGCGGCCCGGCCGGATTCCGGCGATCTCGAGGCTCTGATCGCTCACATTGGCCTCACTAGCGGCGGCCTCGCCAAGACCATTGAGCTCTATGGGAATTACGTGGCCAGGCAGATTGGACTGAGGAAGAACTCCCCCGTGGCCAAGGCGCTGGCCAAGGTCGCCATGGAGTATCTCAACGGGGACAAGAGCCCCAGCGACGGTAGTCTGGAGAACATCGCGGCATTCCTCTCCAAGAGACTTAAAGACCCGAGCTCCTCGCAGATGGTCTTTGACGAGCTCGTCAAGGAGCTGGATTCGTGCATGATCTCCTACTTCTCCTTCCACTGGCAACACTCGGCACACTTGCTGGATCAAGTCCGAAGCGGGCAGAGGAACTTGAGAAGCATTGTCATGGCCGCGACGAGAAAGCATCGGTTCCAGCGAGCCATGCAAACGCTCAAGGCGAAGCGGGCTTTCGCGACGCTGGTGGAGACGATCAAGGCCATGAAAACCATCAAGCATTTGGAAGCAAGGGAGTTGCCCGACTGTGATCATGAGCTTGGAGGAGAATTCAAGAGGCAAAGGAGGAGCCCAGTGCTGATGCTCGTTGGTGGTGGAATGGGAGCGGGCAAGAGCACCGTGGTCAAGGAGCTTCTCCACGCCACGGAGAGTATCGTGCGTCATGACGCCGTGGTGGTGGAGGCCGATGCGTTCAAGGAGGCTGATGTGCTCTACCGCTCGCTAAGCTCTGGCTCGGGCGACGTGAGCATGGCCTCCCAGCTCGTCCACGACTCCTCCACTCGGGCCGCTTCGTCGCTGCTCGTCTCGGCTCTCAACGAAGGGAGGGACGTGATCTTCGATGGGACAATGTCGTGGGAGCCTTTCGTGATGCAGACCATCGCCATGGCCCGGGACGTCCACCGGCGGCGGTACCGCCTGGGACCCGGGTATAGGCTGGACGAGAACGGGGTTCTGGTGGAGCGGTACTGGGAGCCCGTGGAGGCGGAGGAGACGAGCATCGAGGACGAGTTCCTGGCCTCATTGGAGGAGGATCAGGAGCTCCAAAATAACAGCGATGGCGAGCAGCAGAAGGTGGTGGACGAGTTTCTAGGTACATTTTCGTCACGGCTTCCACAATCAACTAAGGTGGCTGAGAGAAAAACAAAAACCGGTGCTTCAGGGAAGCTGTGCGAGGAGGAGAGGCCGGCTTATCGGATCGTTCTCGTCGGGGTGACTTGCGACGCGCTACTGGCGGTGGTCCGCGGGATCAGGAGGGCGATTATCACCAATCGCTTCGTGCCCATCCCCGCGCAGCTGAGATCGCACAAGATGTTCGCGGCGTCGCTGGAGAGGTACTGCGACGCGGTGGACAACGCGAGGATCTACTCGACGAGCAGGATGGGTGGCTTGCCGGAGCTGATCGGGGTGAAAGACGGGCCTGGCAAGCTCAAGAGGCTGAACGAGGCGGGGTTCGAGACCGTGAGGGACTTGGCACTGCTCAACCCGGACGCGTCCTCGGTGCTGGAGCTCTACCAGGGGAGGAGCTCGCAAGTGTGGGAGGAAGTGGTCATGGCCAGCGATAGACGATCCCGGCGGGATTTTCTGTGGGACATGCTGGTGCACGACGACGAGTCCGAGGAGGACGACTTTTACTCGGGCTCGAGCAGTGACTATTCCACCTCGTCTTCGTCCTCCTCGGCTGCTTCCTCGGCGGATTCGCTGGATGAGATGTCCCCCCGGGACGATTGACAAGTGGGCAGCAGCCAGCGAAGAGGTAGCGAACAGTGACCGAGTGCGCGACCGAGTCGAGAAGAAATCGCGGCCCAAAAAAGTGATTAATCTAGTGGAGGTGAGAGAGAGAGATTTCAATCAACAGCAGGCACGACTGTCCCTACAAGTCGGGGAAGAACAGATTTTGGCCCGCGAGTTACTTCAATCAAGTGTATATACAACTTTTCAAAAAGTATTTAGAAAGTTTTTTTAAATGTCTATTTTAAACAGAAAAGTCACGTGACATTTCAAGTCAGCAGCTCCACCAAAAACTGGTAGGTGAGAAAATTAACAAATTTATTCCCAGTTTCTCGCTCTTCTAGAAGAGTGGTTGCGAGTAATATCTAATCTGATCCCCAAGTTCACTTTGATGTGAATTTGTAATATCTGCGATGTTAAACAGCACACGATCAAAGTACGACGTTCATGCTTTTGTGAAGGTCAATATAAGCAGAAAAAATATATGTCGGTTTTTTTCGTGTCATGGTTACTTTTATGCGGGAGTCACTTGGCTGAGCACGGGCATGGAATCTCCGAGGCCCTTGACGCCGCCGCCATTGGCAGATGAAGCGTCCGGGCTCTCAGCGTGCTTGACAAAATCGCTGGGGGACATATGGAGCCCGTGGCAAGAGCACACGATCTTATACTGCCCCTGGAACAGCTTGTACGCGACCCCGCTGATGGCCTTGCCGCCGGGCCCCGAGGCCGACACCCACGGCAGATCGGGTGACGAGCCCGTCCCTCCGATTTGCCCCGCCACCGTCCCCGGCCGGAGGCTGCTCAGCTCCGGATCTATGCTCTCCGCCGCTGGCATGTCCACTGTGGTGCCAAGCTGCCACATCCCCAGGAGCTGCTTCGTCTCGTCGGCGGTGGCGTTTGGATCCAGAGCTCTCGCAGTAGCTTCTGTCGCTGGATCGGCCTGAGCAGCAGCAGCAGCAGCAGCAGCGGGATTGCCGTCGTCTCTGGACGATGCTTGTGCTTGCGCGACGGGGGAGGAGTCCGAGATCGTTCTCCGCATAAGTTGGGTGGCGAGCGCCGCCATGGCGGAAGGGCCGGTTTGGTTTTGGAAAGTCCCCAGCGAGGTGGCGCGCTGCATGTGTGAGAGGCCGCCAGCGGCATTCTCGGCTCCATCTGGAACCAAGCGAGGAGATCAGAAAATCGAAAGCGCTCTGCGTTTTCTACGTTGTTCTTACCGGGTTTGTCGTCGTCCTTGGCCTTTTTGTTTTGCTTCTGCTCGTCGATGAGCATCTTTCGCTTCTTCCGCGCCTCCTGGTGCTGGAAAAACTTTCTTTGCTGCTCCACGGAATCAAGCTCGTCGTCGTCTTCGCGAGGCTGGGCCTGTTGCTGCTGCTGCTGCTGGGGCTGGTGGCCAGCAAGAGCCGACGAAGAAGACGTCGACTTTGCAGCCGCCAGGAACTTCGCTAGATCGCCCATCGAGAGAGGCATGCCGCTGGAGCTCATGAACTTTGCGGCTGGATCGACGTGATTCATTTGCCTCCAGGCAGCGGCGGCTACGTGCGCCGCGGCGATCTGTTGCTGCTGCTGCTGGGAGGAAACGTCCGGAGAAGATGACGAGGGAGTAGCAGTAGCGGCGAGGAACTCTCGCAGCCGGGACTGTTGCTGGGATTGCTGCTGCTGTTGCTGCTGGATCATCGCCTTTCTCAGCCACAGCTCCTGGCTGCTGTGATTATTGGTCCTAGAGATCCATTCCTCTTCGTGCGCCGAAGAATCCCCATCTCCAGTCACTGTAGCTGCTGCTGCTGCTGCTGCCAATGACGACGATTTCTTCTCCAGCGACGATCCCCCTCCTCCTCCTCCTCCCAGAGATAATCCCAGGCTAAGCTCCAGGCCGCTCTCATCCTCGTGGATCAGGAGCTTCTTCTTTAAATCCCTGCTACCGTCCTCCATAATTGAGAAATTCTAGAGCTACCTTCCACCTAGATATCGATCCCAGTGTGGCGCGCTAAACAGACCTCTCGATCGAGCTCTCCGCATTCCCATCCCTGGCAGCCATGGCCGTAGCTGTAAGCCCTAGAGCGAATATGCTTATCTGACCGTACATTGCCAAGTCATTGGCCACGTAATAGGTGAAGTTGCCACACACGCCCTAATCCTGTAGGAACAACGTGCAGTGTAGGGCCACCTTGTCACATACAACACGCAGGCCAGGCCAACTTTTCTTGCTTTTGTGCATGTGAGGATCCATTTTCCCTTGCTATATAAATGTGGATCAATCTATCCTTTATAGAGCGATGAAGATGATAGTGGTGCTTCTTGTGTTCTTGCTGGGCGTGAATGTGGCTCTTGTCACTGGAGGAAGGCGAATCCTGGAAGGTGAATTGTATGATCTTACATCTCTTGGTTCATTGAGTTTGACGATTGTAAATTCCAGAGGATCCACTTCCAGAGCCTGGAAAAGAGGAGCCGCTTCCAAACCCACAATTGCCTGAGCCTGGCAAGGCGGAGCCACTTCCAAACCCAGAAGATCAGCCATTGCCGGAGCCTGGCAAGGAGAAGCCACTTCCAAATCCAGATGATGCCAAGCCATTGCCGGAGCCTGGCAAGGAGAAGCCACTTCCAAATCCAGATGATGCCAAGCCATTGCCGGAGCCTGGCAAGGAGAAGCCACTTCCAAATCCAGGCCATGCCAAGCCATTGCCAGAGCCTGGAAAGGAGGTATCACTTCCAAAACCAGAAGATCCGCTTCCACTTCCAAATCCAGGTGATAAACCACTGCCGGAACCTGATAAAGGAAAACCAGCCCCATAATTATTAAATGAAATCGTGATTATTACCTGAAATTCTTAATAAAAGATATCATGTGAAGAACATTTTGCTTGCCTTACTCTTTGCTGTAAACTATTGTCAAGAGTATGATCATCATGGCTAGATATCATGCATGAAATCATTATTAAGATAAATAAAGAAATTTGATGAAATTTTTGAGCTTGTTAATATATAGTCTATTATTTAATCTAGGTGTATCTTGATTGGTTTGCTATAATATATAATACATTATTTAATCCAGGGAGATTCTTATATATGGTACATTGGACATTACAAAAACACAGTAGGATGAGCCAAAATTAAAGTAGCAAATTGAGCACTAGTATCCATTATGATCTTTAGCTTTTTGGTCATTTGCTGGTATTGGATTTTCATATCTCAAACTATCTCGTAGATGCTCTAGTGTTTGATTTAAGTGCAGACCATTCTTGAGCTCACGAACTGAAGATTTGAGCTTGCAAGTTGAGTTTAATTTTTAATTTTAATTTAATAAAAAATAAAATAAAATTTAAAATATTAAAGTTATAGACACCTTATATAAATAAAAATATTCTAAAGGACACTTTTTGTTCTAACAATTTAAATATTAACTATATGTCATAATAAGGATGTTTGTTAAAACATAAAATAAGATGTTTGCAAGAAAATTATTCTTGTCATTTTCTTAAATCTATACTATGTGCTTTCTAGTTAGTAAATGTCAAGTTTGTCAGAATTTTAAAATTATTAAATTTAAAATAGAATTTTACATAAGGCTATATAACTATTTGAAAAGAAAAAAATAACAACTATTGATGTAAATTTGTTGCATATAAAAGTGAAATTTGATTCTTCTCTAGAATACATTCTTGAAAGGTTTGTCATAGTATAGTATTTAAAATTTATGGATCTTCAATCACACTCTTATTTGAAGAGAGGGAAATATATATAAATGTTTGTGAGTTTTAATGTTGGTAATTTTAACTCTTGCAATCTTTCTTCTTAGAGTAATAATTCAAGGGCTAGAAGTTACAATAGTTGCTCTATTGCACAACACAACCAAATCATACAAGAAAAAAAAAAGGATAATGAAGATAATGATCACAAATTAGAGATAAATGCAATGATAGAAGATGCAATAAATTGGGTGAAAAAGAATGTTTTTCTATTAATTTTAGAAAATTATAATTCTCTGACTTTAAAAAAATGCCCTATATGTTTTTTGGCTTCTGATGACAATAGCAATGATCAATATGATAGTATATATGCTTTGCGACACATTACAACATCATGCATCCAACAAACTACCATGAAATATTTTTTGAGATGGTAAAGACAAAAATAGAGATATACAAGTATTATGGGCAATATTGCAAAAAAAACTTGCAAATATATCAAATGAAAAGTATGATTTTTTATTAATTATATAAAGTATAATAAGTTTATATTATTGATAGAGAATAAATATCAATAGTTTTGGAAAATCTAGTCAACTTCAAAAGTTTTCTACAATTCAGCAATAGTAAAAATTGTTTAGTGTATATGAATATCCACTTTAGGATCTTAGTGTAAGATATTAATAAAGATGTAGTACATATTTTTGCAAGGAGCATATACCTTCTTATGTTCCTTATGGTTCTTAAAGTCTAGACATGTGGGTGAAGGAAGGTCTTGAATGATAATTGTATACTCTCCACCTTCTATTTTCACAATGTACTCCTTTGTTAGAGCATTTGAGCTAAACTTATTTTACTCTATTTCTGTTTGAAGATGTAAAGCTCTATTTTGTTAAAGTGGGAATTGTCATTATCCCACTTGTAAAATAAGGTTTCCAAACCTTTATATAGTATATAAATATAACAAAATTCAACTGCATTGAGGCACATGCCATTTTATTTTAAACAAGGAAATGTCTACTCAATCACTTCTCCTCCCCCTGCCACTGCTTCACCTCTCTCTTCTCCTTGTCATCGTCGTCCAATTTCTTTCCATCCTTTTAATATTGGCTCAGTTGCTCCGAGTCTAGGTGGAGCCCAAGTCCCCATTCAATCTTTACTTTCCCCTTATTAATAAAACAACTTCGTAGACTTCCAATAACATGCTATAACACTTCTAGTATAATGCAAATCCTCTCAAAGAATTGTCTTTTAATATTAATACAATGGCATGGAACCCCATGCCATAATAAGTTACATTTTTAAATAAATACATGCCATCTCAGACTGTTATTTTTTGCCTCGAACGCCTATACAATAATCTTGGAATTTCATCACTCTCCACACTATCAGGATTTAAACCCAATAGTAATGCCATCTCTTCTCTAATACGTCCACGCTCATGTTCAGTGGTCGAAGAACCCATCCGGTTGAGCAGATTATGGAGATGCGGATAGTGCTTGGCTAGACAATATACATGCCATAAATGATGACTGGTGTCTGTCCGATCAAATGGCTTCTGATATACCGTTCCATCTGCCATTTGGTTGATTTCTGCAGCCACCTCTTGGACTGGCCGGTTCTCTATCACCATCGCTCCAAGCCGTTTTGCAAGGTCCCCCAGAACATACGGTTTTTTCTCCCTAGTTTCCATACTACAAGAGATGGGGTGCATTGCATATGTGTGCGTGTTCGCTGCAATTTTAATCGGCGAGTCATCGATGATGAGGATTTCACTTGACCTAGCAGTCCGGTTCATCACTACAGCCTCTGGCTTGACGAAGATGGGCTTGCTACCCCTCACATGGACCATAATCAAGCAATCCTCCTGCGTTAGGAGAAAGTCAAATGGTAATATTACTCGCGTCTGATCGTGCATCATCTGTAGCAACGTTAATGCATTGTGGCGCATCATGGATGTCCAAACTCCCAATTGCAAATTGAACCCGGCCCTCTGTTTTAAGTGTCGCATGGTCATTATTAGATCCCGCAGTTTCTCCCGTGTGATTAATGTGAATCTGTCTCTTTTGACCAACTTGCGACCGCAAGCTTTGGAGGGTGCAGTGACATTCGAGGACGAGCCACGCTCATGGGAGAAAAGGACACCGTTCAGATCAAAAACGATACAGTACTTTCGCCGTGACTTTGAAATGAAATGCGTCAGCATAAAAAATGGTACAAGTCAATTTTACCATCTACAATATTAGCGAATGGTGCTCCCGATGGTTGTTGAGAGGGTTTTGGTCGAGGAAACGTGAAGGGCGGAAATACTCTCCTCTGCAATGTGGGGTCAATCGCATCCGATGGCGTGTGGGCACATGCCATTTCAGCTGTAGACTCTGGTACAACTGGCTCAACAGTGGCATGGGGTGGTTCCGATGGCGTGTGATCACACGCCATTTCAACTGGTGCCTCCGTTGGCAAAGTGGACATGACCGAACAGGCAGCAGGGGCGGTGTAGGGAGGTTCCAACGGCGCGTAGTCAGACGATTGGGCACACGTTGAGTCCGTTGGAAATGAGGATACGACCGGCTTGGTGGCTGGGGCGGCCTTATGCGGGTCCAATGGCGCCTGGTCACTGTCAGTTGGATACGTGGACAAGATTGACTTAGTGGTATGGGCAGCATCAAGTGGAGCGTGGTTAGCTTGCTTGGCGTTGATATGGATAGTAGCCTCCACCAGCTCTGATGACTCTTGCAGGCAAGTAGAGTCCACTGGCGGATCCATATGCATGTCCAAATATCTCTCTTCGATTGAGATGGTATCCTCCCGTGCTACTAAAAACAAACTCATTAGCACATTGAATCGACTATACTGTATTTACCATCAACTGCTATTGAGGAACTAGGACCGATATCACTTGGGGGCACTGCTGATTCTGAAGGATTGGACATACGTTTCGACCCTTGCTTGGCACTATCCTTCCTCGACACTAAAGGTTAGAGTTTGTAAATTCAACTGAATAATCTCTACTTACCATTTGCTCTGCGACCTATATGGACAATGTTAGAAATGGTAAAAGGTTAGGAATGGATGTACTATTATTTACCTGATGGTTTGTCTTGTATGACCTTCCTCCGCTGCTCTTTGGCCACCTCAGGCTGGCCATTGTCGTCATCATCATCGTCGTCGTTATTATGATCGTCACCATTGTGAGGACTATCCAAGTCCTCTTCGTCCTCCTCTTCTTCGTCCTCCTCTTCTTTGTCCTCCTCTTCGTCCTTCTGCTCTTCCTGCTCATTATCTTTCTCTGGCTCCTCATCCCCCTCCTGCATTTCTTCGATAGGCTGCTCAGGCTGGATGGCTTGTTCTTCCAGGACCATCTTGGGAAAATCATCTGGCCGAGTCTCCATCTCAAAATACAAGACATCCATAGCCTGTTTTAGTGCGTGATCTAGGACTGTATCCTCACCCGACTGTCTTAACATGGTTTCTGCACGTTCTTGCACCCTTCGAAGACGACGAGATGAGAAAAACGTGGCCCTGACTTGAAAAGCATCCCTCATCCATTGTACCTCTCCATTGAGATTGGGGAAGGGGAGTCCGCCATAGGAATCTGAGTCAGGAGGTGGTGACTGGCTGCTTTCACTCAGCCCTTGATCTGCAATGAATGGCATGAGCACACACGCCATAACCGCGAGGCATTACCTATCATCTTTTCGTTGCCCTTCTTCCTTTTCGAATCAAACGCCTCTGATCCCGACGATTGTCCAACGTGCTTTCGCTTTTTATGACCACTGTCAGTTTGAGCTTGGCTGGTGCTTGCCTGTTTTGCCTTTGAAGAAGTGTCTCCTGCAAGGAATGGCATGAGACCACACGCCATTGCAAATATAATTTGTACCTCCTTTTTTCCTATTGCTTGTCTATTTGTCCTTCTTCGACGCGCCACCAGTGCGCTTTTCAGTCCTCGTGTCTGAATATTCACAACGATCTATAATCAAAATGGCGTGAAGCCTCATGTGACCTTACCTTGTGTAGGTTGTGAGCTCGGCCCAACATGGGTATCTTCAACAGTAGCTGTTAACGCCATTTCAGCATCTGGGGGTGGCCATGCTCCTGCATACAGAGGTTGTGAGATAACATTTAAACTTAAAGTGCGTACTCACCAGGTTCACAGAGAAGATACTGTTTTTCTTTGGCA